ACAGACAGACAGAAAAAGTTTTTTCCGACCAGACGGAGTAATAGGCTTCGCTAATCGCTCAGCCAATAATAGGCTTCGCTAATCGCTCAGCCAATAACTCTTTCTTTTAGAGAAAATTTTCGAGTTTCGTCGACGGTGTTTGCTTTCGTTGCTCAAAACCTCAAACTACACGTTTGATTTAAAATATAAATATCCTGTTCAAACGCGTTGAATGTGGTTTCTTTGATGACCTCCGGACTTAATATCCTGTTCAAACGCGTTGAGTGTGGTTTCTTTGATGACCTCCGGACTTCGATGTGACCACCAGGGGGGGGGGGGGTTCAATTCTTTTCGTACTGATAGTACGGTCGGGCGGCCAGGGTGGGCTAGCGGACGACTTCAGGCGCCCGGCCCCTATACCGGGTGATTCAGAGCACGCGCCGCCGCGTTGCGGGTTTGCCTATCCTCGACTCGGCGGGCGCACGGGTGAGAGGTGAGGGGGAGAGGGGTCACCTCCTCACCTCTCACCCGTGCGCCCGCCGAGTCGAGGATAGGCAAACCCACAACACGGCGGCGCGTGCTCTGAATCACCCGGTACATCTGGGTGACGTCACGCCTTATGCCTCTCTCTATGCTGCATATCAGTACAAGCAATGACGTATTTGTCAAATCGGTTCTTCTGAGTTCTAGTCGTGTAAAATGTTCCAAATTCAAATGTATCATCTGCTAAAAACATCTGTTCACAGCTTCCCCTGCACATCCTGAGGAAAATTTCGCAGTCCACCCCAAACGGTGTTCCTTCGGCGGATGCTCGGATCTCATCGGAGGCTCCATCAAGACACTCTCCAACACAGACGGCGCATCCGCCCCTCCGGGCTCCCAGTTAAAAAGTTGTTCTTCCGCCTCTGTCGACATTGACGGCAATAACTCCGGCGCTATCACGATAATCTCTGCAAACGGAGGCAACCACGTCCGCGTAGGTGGCACCAACTCGGGCGCTATCACTATCACCGCCTCTGCGACCCAGGCTAAGGAACAGTCCGTGGCCTCCAGCGACGATGCCAGCCAGCCGCGTTTGAAGGGCTGCTCGTTCGGAAGCTGCACCGTCATCATCGACGGCACCAACTCCGGAGCTATCACCGTGCCTGCGGACTATGACTGCACCGTCACCATCACCGGCACTAACTCGGGCGCGATCACCGGAGCACGTAAGTTATTGTAGTTTCATACATGCTGTCACATAGTTAATTTTATGCCCAAAACTCATTTGAGGGTTGAAGAGTGTTTTGACATCATTTCTTATGAATGAAGCGTCTATACGGCGTTGCTACACACACAAACACCAACAAGAAAACTCAAGCAAAGGGAAGTGCAATACATTAACATTTCCCCCTTTTTTTTCATAGGTTGTGTTCAGCGGGGTGTTGCCGTTCAAGCACCTTCAAAGGAAAGTTCGTCTGGACCTTGCAGTATGAACATACAGGGGGACAATTCCCAAGCCATAACCCTAAAATGAGATAGGGGTATTTATAGGTTTGCGAGGTTTTGCTCATTTTATGTGAATCACATTGATCATACTTCCACTCCTACTTTTATTTACAGCGACATTAATGTGTAAGCTGACATGTATTTACCAGGAAGCAACACGGTGTTGGGTTAGCTCATAACACTGATAAACTAAGTGTTCAACTGCTCCACACTTGTAAGTGTGCAACTGCAAGTTTAAATTACATTTTGTTTTCCATCCCTGATTAAAAGCAGTGTGACAATAAAATTAGTTTAATTTGTAAAAAGCAATGACTACGCAACTTCAGCACAATTATTTCTATAAACTGAACAATGAAAATCTTATCTCCTTAATGCGTTGATAAAATGCTAGAAGCATTGGGGCAAAGGCAGGGGGTTTCACTCCCGGTAGTGCAGGTGTGGATCCAGCGTAGGTTTGTAGGGGGGCATTTTTCTGGATGGGTCGTGGTGGTTGCCTAATTAACAGGGGGAATTCAATGTAAATTTGCCAATTTTGAAAGTAAAAACACCAGTTTAACAAAATGCTGAAGCATACATGAAAGAGGCTTCTGATGCCCCCGAGACTGATAAAAGAAGAAGCTCTCACGAGAGAAAAAAATCTGCGAGTTATGATTGGCTGAGCGATTAGCAAAGCCCATTACTCCACTGACACCCAAGTCGGGAAAAGGGCACAGTCGTAAATAGGCCTTCGACCCCAAAAAGTCACCAACTTGGTTCCTCGGGGTTTCAGTTTGATTAGTTACCCCCCCGGACACCATCAAATATCTGAGGGGAAACATTAAAATATTTTGGGGTCATTTCCGAGTGAAAAACGTCCTCTGGCGCCCAAACGGTTAGAGATAGAGCCAAACGGGCAAAATTTAGGTTCAAAGGGGTCTACTTGGACGAGTTACGTCTAGGAAAGATGTAAAAAAGATTTTTAAAGAAATGTTTTGGGATTTTTGTTTTTGATTTTTTGACACGTCAATTTTTGAGCCAGAGGGCTCAAAATCAATACAGTCCTTCCCTTTTATGATACAAAGTTACAATAAAAATTAGAGTTTACTAGCTCAAACCGTTTTAGAGTTAGACAAACAAACAGACAGACGCGAAACTTTTTGATCATCACTGGAGTGATGGGCTTCGCTAATCACTCAGCCAATAGTATAATTTAAATTTGTACGTTAATATGTCCGATTTTTAAATACAAGGCATATTTGAACAAAATAAGATCATGTTTGTTTTTGTCATTATTACACCTTAGCAGGCCCGACTTATTCAGAACAAGTCAAAATCATATACTGTATGAAACTCATTAGAAGGACTGTCGTCTGCATCATATGATGGTTTGATGAGGCTTGTCTGCGGGGTTCAAATCCTACGCTTAAAGAAAGGTTGTCATTGTCTGAGTACGTACTTAGGTCAGACACCTTAGTCTAGATAATTGAAGATGCTCTCACAAATGAGCGGTGCTTGCAGTAGGCGCTCATGCCGCTGGGCTGTCTGGGCAGGCCGCCGTCTCCACAGAGCTGCTTGACGGGGCGGCCTACCCAGCACGTTGCAGGCGTTATCATTGCCGTCGGAGAAAAGTTCCCCCAGAGAAAGGCACCCCTCATAATTCTGGAGGTTTCCGTACAACTTTCCCAGTGAATCAATTTTCAGTCGATCGCAATCTATTTTTAAGTATCATTTTCAACGCTGGCCGACCGGCGGGGGAGGCGTTTTACCTTTGATAGAAGTAATCTGTGTAGCTCGTTGGCAATCGGCGACCTTTATCATCGGGTAGAGGAGACCACACCAAAAGGTACTGTCAAAAACAAAAATCGCAGGTTAATTTTTTAGAATGTATGTCCTGTTGGTTCCCTGTATGAATGGAGCGTCCCGTCTGGGCGGGCCTCGTGGCGGGCGCTGCGGGGCGCTGCGGGGCGCTGCGGGGAGCGGCGGGCCCGGCAGACGGGTGATAGCGCACGGCTTGCAGCGGGGCCTGTCCAGGGCCGGGGTGGCCGCCGGACCGGATGTGGCCGCCATACATAAGCGCCCCTCCTCCTAGGCCATAAGTTCACTCTATCCCCAGCCCCGCCCAGCGCCGCTCCCTCCTCGCTATTGTGGCCGGGCACTCGCGACTTTCAAAGTGGTCCCCCATAGCGTGTTGGGGGCAAACGATATAAGATGGTCAGGATCACCGACCTCCTCTTTGTGCTCGCCGTTGTGTGCGCCTCCGCCATCGCCTCGAGCAGTGATTGTTGTTAGTGTCAAAAGTGATTGCCTCCCCAGTTTCCCATTTGCAAAACAGTAAAGAGTGTGTGTGTGTGCTTGAATTCGCAGCTGAGGAGTACTCTGACTATGGCTGTGAGGTCGACAGGGCTACCCTGATGGCCAACGAGATACGGGACACGTTCAGAGCTCTTGCCGACGGTGAGTGTAAAGAAGAGAGTTTATCGGGCACCTCGAGGGGACGCTGCTGGACGGGCAGGCGCCGTCTTACTCTCCTCCCACACCTCGGAAAATCTCCACCCGTTTTGTGCGAGCAATTTTCTTTCAATCTCTTTGTAATCCCTTGGTGTAACTGTGAGCACGCAGCAGTGTTGCGGGATTGTATACTCAATAGGCCGCAGGGGCCATGCCCCCTTACGGGTGTAAAGTGTAGGCGAACCCGCAACACTGCTGCGTAATCACAGTTACACCCGGTATACCCAAGGTTGGGCCGTGCGCCCAGTAGTGAAAAATTGCAGTTGAATCGTCATCGACACACGAAATGATGTGGAAATAACGCTGGAATAGACGTCAAAACGACCTTAGTTTCGATTTGAATTTCTCACTGGGTTGGGAGCAGCCGCAGGCCGTGTGGTAATGTTTGCTAAACTTTTGCGGGTCTCGCAGGCGAGCCGCTGGACGAGCTGCCCCC